TCTACTGCCTTAACTGGGTATTGAACTCACATTCTTTGGGTCCTGTCACTGGATCTAACCAACGCCTTTATCCACTGTGTCATATGTCCTTGAGGACATCTGTGTATGAATTTCTGGGCATTATAAACCTAATGTCTTCAGCAACCATTTTTACCAGTGCTCATATTGCAATTTTTTTGCTGTTATCATTGCATTTTTTACCAGAGCTCATATTGCAATTTTTGTTATTATCACTTTTCTCTGGCACTCCTTATTACTGGTTACCATATTGTATTCATTTCTATGCTTGGTCGGCTCAGAAGATTTTTGTGGCCTAGCATATGAACTGATTCCTTACGTTTGCGAATTTTCCAATGTTGTTCCTTGTCTATGATCTCAACCTGATCCTACAGAGGGCGCTGATCTCCCTTCTCTTTCCATATGTGGTCAGCCATGCCTGATTTTTCCACTTCCCCTCGTGTTACAGCTTTCTGGTTTTCTTGAAGCCTTACCTTAAGGGGGCGGCCCGTCTCTCCTTTATATTTCTTTCCGCAGCTGCACGGGATAGCATACACACAGTCTTTAGTCATGTTCTCCTTTATGGGGGTGTCATCAAGCTTTTGAAGGTTGTCCTGATGTTATATGGACCGCAGATCGTTTGTATTTTCTCTGAAAACCCCTTCACATAAGGCAGGCAGACTGTTTTCTGAGTGTTGTTGTTCTTCTCTTGTACCCGCCTATCCCAGTTTTTGGGGGCTGCTGCTATGTACCCAGGGTAGTAGTTACATTGTAGGGTATTACTTATACTGACCAATTCTTTATCTAATGTCTCTGGGTCGCCACTTATGACTTTTGCTCGGAAAATCAACAGCGGATGATCCCTTTCTTTATGCTGTATGGATGGTGGGAGTTGAAATTGAGGTACTGTCTGATGAATGTCAGTTTACAGTATATGGATGTCTTGAACCCATGCCCCGTTCAAGATATTAGAACATCCACAAAGGTCTTAGTGAGTTCACATGGTCTGGTAGAACCTGAACATCTTCCAGGTGTGGCCAGAGTATGAAGGTGTCATCTACGTACCTTAACCATATAGTTGGCTTTAGAGATATAGATTCTAATGCCATTTCCTCAAAGTATTCCATGTATATATTTGCCATTGCTGGTGATAATGGCAAGCCCATTGCTAAGCCCTCATTCTGTCGATATATATGTGTGATCCCATTCCAAAGTGTGTTGTTTGTGTACAGAAAGTCAATACCCAGTTAAGGCAGTGGAGAACTTTCAGAGGAAAATTAACAGGTGATAACTGACATCCATTAAACATGGCACATGGAACTAGAACAGTCTACCCCAGTGAGCGAAATAAAGCGTTAAGTTCAACATTCCAACCACCTGAAGAAGGCCAGAGCGTACAACAGCCAAAATGTAATAAATATGGCGACAAAGATGAGGACAATAGTCCGAATAATGTAAATAATGTACATAATATTTCATCTCAGAAATATAGACAGATGCTAAGAAGTAGCTATTAAAAAAATGTTTTGTTTTTTCTCTTCATATAATCTCATATATAAGATGAACACCTATAACAAATATGTGTCTATCTTTACAAAATCCTATATTCAAACAAATTTGCAAAATATGTTTTTCTTTATATTTGATAACATCTTTACAAATAGCAACTGACTATACAGTTTTAGATATTATTTGATGTGCTTTACTATAAAGTTGTAGGGAAGTTTTTAACAAATGTGTATTGGTTTTCTTTCTATGTTTAACATTTTATTCTTGTAAACTAATTAAAGCAGGGGCGTCCAAACTTCAAAGAGGACCAAATTTGATGAGGTGAATATGTGTGAGGGCCAACCATTCTGTTTGGCATTCTTTGAACAATTATAATTAAATGCAAATGAACTATCTTATGAAAATTTTATTGCAAATGACATATTTTCATTTCTTCATATGGATGACAAATTTAAACAGGTCCTACCAAAATCATTCAGCCTGTCATATCTGAAGCCCATATAAGATGAAGTAAAATATGTCTGAGAAAAAAGAACTTCCAGGAAGCTATAATATATTTCAGGTTAATCTTAACCATTATATAGTATTGGTAATTAATATTGTCGGTCAACTTTTTAGTTGAAAATATATGAATAGGAACATAACACCAACATTCACCTTATTAAGAAGTAAAAAAAACAGTGACACAAGTCCAAGTGTCCAAATATATTTATAACTAATTTTGACCAACACAAAACAAATTTAATTAATTTTAGAATTTATTCATCTCAGATGACTAAAACAGATATCTCAGTATCACCCTTCACTAATGTGAAAGGTGATACTGAGATCAGGACTGCAGTATGTAGGCCAGGTCTGGTTCAAAGGCAGTGATTTTAGAAATTCATTGGAAAAGGTTCAGGTCAGGGTCACACTGCCAGATGACAGCCATATATTGCTACTGCCATCTTTTGGTAAAACATGAAATTACATTTCTTACGTGTGTATTTTACATAATCTTACTGACACGCTGTGATACGTTCTATGACAGAGGATAGAGGCCATATGAAATTTGACTGCAGGCCATAATTGGCCCCTAGGCCAGGCTTTGAACATGAATTAAAGAAAAAGATTTCAATCAGATTGGTTAATACTTGTTTTGAATTTTATATCAGTTTAAGCTCTATTTGGGTAAAATATCAACTATTCTGTACAGATGAAAATTTGATTTTTCTCAGCAATTGTTTCTTTTATCTTGCAGTCTCTTGAAGATAGAATTGAGCTATGTGAAGATCTATCTGCCAAGGAGAAGTACAACGTCATTAAAGTTACAGCTGAGGTACCATTCTTTATAAAAACGTTCAGTTTTCAAAACTGGTTTCAATTAAAAATTCCTAATTTTAATGAGCATATTGATATTATTGACAGTTTAATTTTTAAAAGAAAGAAATTCTAGTACTATCTTGATCTTGTAATGAATTTTTTCCTACTGACAATTGTAAAGTGAATTAATCATAAAGTACTAATATTTTAATAATTTTGGGAGATAATTAAAAAAAAAATACAATTGTTTTACTAAAAAAAAAACAAATAATGTAAATTCAAGATATTTATATGTGTGTATGCATGTGTGATATTGGAAATATGTAAAATGATAATTTTATTTTATATTTTTTTTAAGTTCTGGTTAAATATAAAATGCATATTCAACACTATTTATATTGTATTTTATCTGAAAATCATCCTGCATGTGTTTAAATGGCTTTCAAAATCTAAAAATAGAAATTTTTTAGTTTATAAAGACATTCAAGCTTGAAAACTAAATTGGAACTTTTGAAAGAAAATACACAACAATGTGACTAAACAGTAGCAGAATCTTCTGCTGGTGGAGGTTTTATTCTGCATTAAGGATTCAAATGGAATTTATTGCAAATTTCTGGAACTGGTGCAAACTGTTACTACACTAATGATACTGTAACCAACAATTGGCTCATTTTGATTTATGCATTGGGCAAGAAAAGATCCTTTCCTGGGCAACAAATTCATTTTGCTGTACAATAAAGTCTTTTTGTTGTAAATGATCATGGCAGCAAATCATCATGAATCTGAGATAGAAAGTCCTATGTATTCTACAAATCTGACACTTTAATATTATCCTTTTTTTTTAATTTCAAACAACACTCATTGCCTTGTTTGCATTCTAACAAGTTTAATTATGTAACTGATAATAACTCTTCATCCCAATAATTCAAACAGTTTAAGGTATTGAAAAATTTAACAAAGAATCACAACCAGAATTCTTCTTTTATGATGGAATGCACAATTTACCTGAAAGGTGATGTAAGATCTTACAAAGGGGAAATACTTTGAATAAAGATACTATAAAACGAATTTAACAAAAAAATATTGCATCAACCGAATAACTCAGTCTCATGTAAAAATCAAGGGGGAAGTAACTCATTATATTTGGTTTGAAGTTAGATACATTATTTAAATATGACTTAAGTGAATAATAAACTGAAGCCACTCAGAATAATTCCACATAAGGCTATACTATTATGTCACTGTTCACTGTCCACAATTGCCTATTGTATAAGGATTAATAAGTGATTTCATTGAAATGTGATCTATTTTCAAGTTCTCAGATCTCTTACTTGAGCAGACTTAACTGGTTTATTATCATCATAAGCTTAAAAACCTTACTGTGTTGAGTTTATGCAGTTTAGTATATCAATCAGGAAAGAATTGTTTATTTTTTTAATGTACAATTGAGTGCCATTTATATTTAATCTTTTTCTTTGTTAATGATAGCTAAATAAATGAATCCTCAAATTGATGTATGTATATTGACTTTGAAGAGTTTTGTTTAGAATCATTGAAATTAAGAGAATAGTGAGCTAATTTTTACTTCATCAAAGATCCTCTTCCAGTGGAAATATTTACTGAATTTCCTGTTGTAATAGGAACGATTGTAGAAACATTTCTTTTTCATTACCACAAGAGTATACACACAAATATTAGTGGGAGTGCATTTGCCAAAGTATTAACTATTTGGTTACTAATATCATGAAATTTTTAAACAAATCAACTATCGTGTATGACTTACAATGTCTTTTAAAAATCTGCCTTCAGTTTGGTTTTACAAACAATTTTAGCTTATAGATCCTACTGTATTGACTCTATTAAAATAATAAGCATATTCATAATTGAAATGTCATAGTTTTCTATCATTTATTCCTTAAGATGTCTGTTGAAAACAAAATATTTATTTGGATTTCTTTTTAAAAGAACTGATGAATTATATTATCATATTTTTCTTTTATTTAATTCGTATTACTTGGATTCCAGTATTGAGTTATTGTTTAGTTATTAAAAGAATTCTTTTTCTAAAATCTCTTACATACTTTTATTTTCAGAAAGTGATAACAATTTCTGAATAGAAAATTATTCAAAGAGAATTAAAAAAAAAATACTCTTTTGAAGTTGTTCTATATTCAATATTTTTATTTTAGGCAATGATTGAATCTATCAAACATACTATTGTGATGCTTCAGATCACCAAAGTAAGTTAAAATTATTTTTTTTATATTTAATTTTTAAAATTTACATTGTTTTAAATTTCCAACTATTTATTAATGAAGTTTTTAATCTCTTGTGATTCATTAATTCAGTTATCTTTTTCAGTCAAAACTAATTTAACAAAACAAATAATATTTGAGATTACTCATGCAGTAAATTGTCATGGCTGAATTATTTCAAAGCACAATATTGTTTCATTTATAGTTAATGACAGTATTGTATTTTTGTGCTTCAAAGTAATCTTCTGCCAATTTCCATAGAAATAAAACTATGTTCATTGTATTTAAATTTAGTTAATGAATATGTGTTGCTTTTTTCTCAATGAGGTATTTGTATTCAGAATATGCAGGGATGTTTACATACACAAACTATAAATAATTAATTCAACATGTTTTACTTTGAAAGTTATTAAGCTTTAAAGGTGCGAGAGTCTGTGTTATCTTTTAAAGTTGGATAAATAATTTATTGTACCTTCTCTTTGTTTAATCACACTCTAGCTGAATTGATTAAAATTATATAAAAATTAGGGTGTTTATTGACATTAGGTTAAATAGTAAACTTTTACAGCATTTACTTTGTATTTATTTTACATCTTTTTTTCCTCATTACAATTTTAAATTCCTGTTCTGATTTTGTTTTGTAACATTATATATTTGACAAAGGGTAATAAATTCTCAAAATTAAGTAATTTTCTTAAAGATATTCACTTCTTTTTCAAATCTATGCACTCATGAATGTAGGTGTTCCCCAAGGCTCTATCCTGGGTCCTACACTGTTCTTTATCTTCATTAATGATCTTCCTGATGTCATCAGTTCCCAAGTAGACATCTATGCAGACGACACCACTATTTACTCCAGCCTAAATAGCAAATCTGGTATAGGTGACAAAACTAACCTGGCCATTGGTCTCAAAAAGGACCTCCAATCAGTTGTTTACTGGGGCAAGAAATGGCTGGTTAACTTGAATGTCTCAAAAACAAAACTGCTCTCTATTACCCACCACAGAGAACCCTCCCTGCTTCCCATTAGAATGTCTGATGCTCAACTCCACGAAAGCACCTCTTTGTGACTGTTTGATCTCGCACTGTTCGCTGACCTGAGATGGAACAATTACATTGAATCAATAGTTTCATCTGCCGCAAGGAAAGTTGGTTCTCTATGTTGCACCCAAAAGTTTTTCTCGCCAGAGTCCATCCATCAAATCTATAAATCAACCATTCACCCTTGCATGGAATATTGCTGTCATACATGGTCTGTAGCTCCTGCTGTTCACCTTAGGGTTCTCAACAAAATCCAGAGACGGATATGCAATGTGGTTGGCCCTGATCTGGCAGCTTGTTTACAGTCACTCTCTCACAAATGTGCCATTGCTTCCCTCTGTCTTTTCTACAAATATTTTCACAGTAACTACTCTGACGAGCTATTTTCTCTAGTTCCCAAACTGCATGAATTTAAATGTGCCACTAGGTCAGCATCTCAGTCCCACCCTTTCACTGTCAAAACTGTTAAATGTAGCCGTATCTTCTACTCCAATAGCTTCATGTCTCCTACTTCCTGTCTGTGGAACTCCCTTCCTCTTATTTACTTCCCTGATAGCTATAATCTCCAACTATTCAAATGCAATGTCAATTGACATCTCCAAATGACTTGATCTATTTCCTATTCTTCTCTTCATCCTTTCCTCTTTCACGCCTCTTTACTCTTGCTCCCACTCTTTGTAACCCCTTGCATGCTAGTGGCACTCTGGTCTAGCTTAGAGTGAAAAGTTTAAAAACAAAACAAAACAAACTTTGGAACTTAACATTTAATACAGCACTGGTTGTGTTCTGATCCATTTAAATTTATATTTTAGTTAATCATAATGGAGACAGAGCATTAGATTTTTTTTCCAACTAATTTAAAGCTATTTATTGTCTTATTTGGCAAGTCATTAATTTTTTAATAAATTATAGTCTCTTCAATAATGACTTTGGATTGAATTATCTTATAAAATTAAATTTAATTATTTTATAATTAATTTATTTTATTTTAATTTTTGTATAATTATTTTAAATTTAATTCTTTTATAAAATTAATTTCTCAAGGGATATTCACTTATAGTTTTTTCTATTTTTGTATGCTTTACTTTGTAAGGTTTAATTTCTGTTTTTTTGTTATTTAGCAAATCAGTTGCAAGACTCCACTGAGGTTGTAATAAATAACATGCTGCTGGATGAGATGTTTTATTCATTCATTTCTTGAAGACATAAAACAAGAAAAATTTACATATGCTCTAAAAACAATAAAAGAAGCTACATGCTGAAAATGTTGAATGAAAAATGATACCACTCACCTGAATTGCTGAATGTTCAATGAATGGAAATCAGTCTTTGCAGACTCTTCTCTTTTTGAAGTTAATTTAATATTATATAGGTCAAGCTTGTATAATATATAAAAATGGTATTAAATGCTGAATAATTAGTTTAATAGTTAATTATTTAAGCATTATGTTGAAAATGTTTTGAAAACTTTTCACAGGAAATTGATGTGGTCTTTATGATCAGAAAGCAATTTCAAATCTATGAACAGTGGATTCTCTTCTACATTGACTATCTTGAACCTTTTTTTCACCTTATGCTACTTCTTCAATTTTCAAAGAGGATAAATATTTGTAAGTTAAAAAAAAAATAAATTCTTTTTTTACTCACAAATATTTATCCTCTCCACAAATATTTATTTTTGGTTAGCCAAAAGGTTTGTTCTATGTCTGTCATTAGAAATGTATAGTTTTAACAAACTACAATAAAAAAAAAATCACTTTTAATTATATTGTAATAGCAGTTATATTCACTTACAATTTTTTTTTTTTGCTTTAAAAATTCTAACTGTGAAAAAGGAAGAAAATAAGTAACATTTTCAACGTCCTTCAACTTTTTTATTTTAAAGGAAGTAAAAATGAATTTGTGCAACTTATGCTGAAGAAAGTGAATGATCAAATGTCATGCTGGAAATTTTCTCCATCATTACTTGAGAATCAACATTACATGATGTGCAAGATGGCTAACATAGTGAAAATATCCAAATCAAGCATTTAAAATTTGCACCAACTTTATCATATTAGTCATTTCAATGTGTGACTATCATAAGTTAAGAAAAAACCTACTGCTCTTTATTCTTGTGCTATTTGCTCCTTAAATCTAATGTAAATGCTCCTTTTTTATCTTTTTAACAAATGGTAACAGATAATGAAAAATAGCTTTATAACATGGGATGCAAGTAAACAAGAGGCAAACAAAATGAACCACCACAAATAACAACGACTAGTGTTCATCCAAAGAATGCTGCCAATATGGTGTGATTGGAAAAAAGTAGTCTCTTCAATATAAGCTCCTTTCAGATTGACAAACAATAGATTCAAACAACTACTGCACCAAATTAGACCAATTGAAGACTGTAATCTGTAAAAAGTGGCCAGGATTAGTTAAGGAAGGAAGGCTGTAATATTCCATCTGGATAAAGTTAGACCAAATATTTCTTTTGTGACCAGGCAAAAATTATGACAGCTTTGCCAATGTTTCCACTCCTTTGCTATATTCACCAAACCATTTATTTCAGTCTTTACAAAATTGTCTTAATAAATTTGATTCTGTGGAAGGCTTGCAGAAGGCATCTAAAGTAGTTTTTTGCTAAGAAATAAATACTTTTAGGAGAATACCATTATGAAGTTGCCTGAAAATAGTAAAAGATATAGTTCAATAATATAGAAAATAAAAAAATTATCAGTTTTTAATTTTTATTAATAAACTGAACACACATTTTGGCAACACTATACTAAGCAATATAAAGATACTATGCTAATTATTCTATCAAAATAGAAACTGTTTTTGTTTTATTGGTAAATTCATTTCCACTTGGTTTCTTTTGTATGCAGAGGCAACAAAAGCAACCTTTTATGGTATATTTGCCAGTACCAGGAAAGATGACTGCTATATTTATAAAATGACTGTATTTTTTTTTTTTTTTTTTTTTTTTTTTTTTTTTTTTTTTGAGTAAATAAACTAGCAGATCTTTATTTTGATACATAACACCATCTGATGATGAGTTTTTATCCTGTGGTCTCTTCACTATCAAAGTGTATTCCATAATTTTTACTTGATCTTTGATATGAATCCTTGACTTTTTTCTTTTTGATAACTTTGACATTGATAAAATGATTACAATTTATCTTTGCACTTTGTTACTCATACTTATGATGTACAGGTTTGATTTCTGTAAAAATATAAAAATATTTTGACTTGTGTGCCTGTTTTTCTTTTTTGCTGTCACTCCCCTTGAAAGCTCTGTTCTAGCAAGTAATTCTAAAACATTAGGATTGTAACGTTATGTTGTTTATTATTATGAAAATAAATTTTTTAATATTTATAACTGTGATGATATAGGATTAATTGGATTTATATAATTTATGTAATTACATAATATTTTATAATATTAAAATAAAACAAAGAATTTCTGATTACAATTTGGGAATTTGGCAGGATTGTTTTCAAAATTTAACATTTTACTGATGTTCATCTTAACAGTGGAACAGTTGATATAAAAGGAGGATAGATTTTGTATTGCTGCCTAAAAATTATTTGTTGGATGATTGTCACCACATCTATATTTTTTAACATTGGAGTTAGCAGAGAGAGAGAAAAAACAAAAAAGAAATCTTGAAGCCAATGGGACATTGTAACCAGATCTTGCCTGACCTGTAAAATTAATCAATGTTGATGCTAAGTACTTTATGTAAGTGTGTTTGTCACTAATCTGCTTTATTTTATAAGTGTGCGAAATGAGCATAATGAAATTAAACCTCAAAAAATAATCACTATATCCTTACTATGATAAAAATTTTTTTTTTTTTTTTTTTTTTAAACTACACATAAAAACTAATATTTAAAAATTTTTAGACCTGATATTGTTGTAAACATAATGTTTAACTGTTTTCCAGTATATAGTGAAA